CATATTTTGCTCGTGACGATGACGGGTGGCCCACGTCCGCGGCCGGAGCTCTCCGGGAGCTACCGTCACATCTCACATCGATAGACAACGAGAGCATCCTATGCAGGACGAAGGAGCGCTCAAACAGGTCGGAATCTTGTCACCCGACACGAGCTCCACATCAGGGATGGGAAAAGAATCGCAGGCGCGTCTCCTACCACGGGGTCTATGAACTTGATGGAGGGAAATTTCCTCCCGACCCGCCTGGCGCCAGACCCGCGCGCGAAATGATCAAATTAATTCATAGTCGTCGCGATAATCTATGCTCTGCCTTCCTCAATACTTTCGCAACCCACCATATAGACAATTAACTACGAAGAGAACATGAATGGGAAACAATAGAGATGGGAAACACTCGTCGGAGGTTCGAGAAAGGCCTCGCCAAGCCAGGTTGTTCCCTCTGCCTGTCGAAACCCGATGAGGGAATCACGTTGCAGTATGCAATATTCATGCCGCCGTCCCATCCCGAAACAGAGCGACAAGTGAATAGCCTTAGAGGTGAGTGCGATACGCCGGCTCGCCATCGCAAAGGAGGAATTATTCAAGGGACACAAACTTCGTAATGCTCGTTATGCCAAGACAGTCAACAGAAAGCGAATCGATGTAAATCTACAACTGCGACGCCTGGAAACAGCAGAGGGAGCGATGCTCAGTTTCGAACTCTCCATGCATTTCCATGCGTAAAATGATAACATTATCCGACCTTATTCAGTCGAGACCAGCCCAACCAAAGACCGTCAGGCAAGTAGGTGGACCCGTGAGCGATAGCGGTAGAAAGGAAACAATCGATGCATTCAGCCAACATATCTCTGTTTGTCGCTTCGATGTAACAGACAGGGGTCAATAGATCGCGAGATTGAGTCCGCATAAGTTGCGGATCGTGATCTGATTCTTTGGTTTCAAACGGCATCGCTTTAGCGCATGAGATTGCCTACATTGGAATGGTTGCGTATTCGGAGCCGTTTTCCCGCAATAGGAACGGGTTCACGCATGGATGTCGACATTTCATGACTCATGGGGGATTATGGAACGTTGGACATGCGGGAAAAGTATCATCCCAGCGTCTGGGGAGCGGTCGCTCAGCGATAGTAATTCTGACATGAGCTCATCAGGAATGATCGCGGCATCTCCTTCGGCGAGGCGTCCAGCATCAGGTTCTGGGGTTCGTTCGCTCTCCCCTCCCCAACGAATTCGAATTCTTGTTCGGGCCCACACGAATGACGCTTTCAATAAAATCGACACCCAAACCAAAAACTTCCCCCATAATCATGGGGCAGAAACTCGCCGTCCGACTCGGTCGAAGGTGTTTGCTGCAGCGTGAACGACTGGTTCGAAGATCGAAACTCGATTCGGAGGCGGTGCGATCCTGCTTTGCTCCCGGGATTTCGTATCGCACAGGTTTTGCGAAATGTAACAGTAGAATATTGAACGGTGAAATATCCCACGGCGGAGTCGAAGTCACCGGCTCCGGACAAGAAGTCTACCAAGGTGAGACGCGATGATAGCCTATGCCCTTGCCGACGGTATTCACTCTTCGGTCACCTTCTCCGGTCGCTCCCTATTGCTGGACACTCATAGGGTCCAAAGCCAATCGAGTCTCTGAAGATATCGTGAGTCTGGTCGGATTCGAGGCTCTCGATTTTTTCTTTCCAAGGAATCGAAGGCAGGCCAGAATGGTGGCCGCAAATCGGGAGGAATCGGCAATGACATCTGAAGTTACAAAACAGCCACAGCCCGAGTCGATAGCGACATCATCAGAATAATAAACAGTCTTATCTGTTCCATCAGAACTTGCAGAAACTTCCGTCAGAAGTCAGAACGTTTCCTTACACGAAACAGGAATCCACTCCGGATGCCATGATTTCTATCTGAAATCCTCCATTGAGAATCATCGATCGCGGATCGCGGCCGATTGTGAGTCGGACTCCGAGAACACCCATCATGAGTCGATAATTCCCGTAGACGGATGTCCGAGGGGAATAGTACCAGTGCGGGATCAAGGTCGAGACCCGCATACATCTGCATGTCCGGCGGACCGGATCAAGCCAAAAACCCTTGTGAAGCCTCAGTGAGGCTGCCTCACGGAAACTGATGGCAGAAATCGTTGGCAGAAGAGTCTCCCGAGAGCAGAGTTGCCACGATTAACGAGCCCAGACCGCGTTGGGCTCATGAGCTTACTGACGCGACAGAGCTCTAGTTTGAGCTCCGAATGACTCCTCTCGAGGGAGCCGTGACGTCATTGGGCTAATATCGAGATATCGAGAAACGCGCGATTGATGTCCTCGTTCCGACGCGATGGTCGCCATTGAAACAGGGCAGAGCATTCCATGAAGATGACGTAATTTCCGGATTCGGCCAATCATCATCCCAACATTGAAGATTAGCGCTGGAGGCCCATATTCGCGCCAATACCTCTTTCTGAAACTCGCGCGAAACTTCTGATCCCTTCGGGATAAGGACGAAGAGCGCCCAGAGTTGAGTATGGGTATGGGCGCGGTCCCGCGAATTCACCTCATCACCCTCTGAGGGAGCTTCCTATAGCGCTAGCGACCATTCCCATCCCGCCCCGCCGTGCCCTCTCATTGATAGGGACGGCCTTAAGAAGCTGATTCTGTACCTGATTCTCGCAAGCGGACTCTTGACCATGATTGTTGGACTGCGAAGCTCTCCGCAATGATAAGCTCAAATGAAATTATATCCGATGCTGAGCTGACTACCTCATTCTCGGATCTACGCACTAAGCCCAATCTTGAGCCGAGGGCTAATCTCCTCGTGGAGCTAATGCTAGGCTGCTCCGGACGAATCATCAGCGTTACGAGATATCGTCGTAGGTATGCCACCATGCTCCTAATTCCTGTTTGCACCGATCGGGTAGCGCTCCGAGTGAGCCGAGATGATCAGGAGGGCAATCAGAATGCCGCGCCGGCCTCATACCTGATGAACGGATACCCTGGCGAGTCCCGTCGAGAACCATTGGGAGATCGAGCTCCTCTCGGAATCACCTTCCTTCCGAATCAGATGCTGCAGAGAATAATTCGATCGAAGAACGAGTCATTCGTGAGGCGATAGGATGCCATGTGCACTCGCTCCCTATGCCCTGAGAAACGTAGGAAGTGATGCAAAATCCACGACCGCGTCCCGAGATCGCGTTGGAATGATGCCTGTGAATTATTCGCGCCCTCCTCGCGCTTCGAAATACTATATCAAATCTGCTGGGCAACAGTTGACGCTGTCGAAACCTTTCGTGGGATGACTCGGCTCGACTTGGACCCCCTTTGGGAAGCTACGATTCTCGGGAGAGCGACCTACATCTGCACAACGATCCCGCTCTAAGATTTCCACGGAATTTCACTTCTCTCGAATGCGGTCCGTCACGCTGTCATAATTTAGAACGACTTAGCCACGATGAAATACGCGTGAGCTCGATCCGTTCCCACTTAACCCGATCACGAATTCGAGGCTCGCGCATGCGGTAAAGCTCCACCTTTTTCTCGCCCTTGAATCCGCCTATACTTCGATATGAGTTTATCCTCGCCCTTCCTGTTCCTCAGTGTATTCAAAAGCAGTACGCCCCCGATCGAGGCCGACTCGACCAGGAGAATCGAAGGTAGGGGCTCTGAGGCAATATTTTCGATCGATAGTACCTATATAAGGGCGGGAGTCTCGATGATCTTCCGCTAGGAGACTCGGGAGGCCTAGGATGACCGCTTCTGCAGTCAGAATATTCTCGCGTAATCTGGAGAATCCCAAAGGAGGGAATGAAACAGTTGGGGGCATTGTCTATGCGTTCGGAGCTGGTACCAACCCCACTATTGGAACTTCTCTGTGCCGCTGATAGTGCATCACGGCGGCCGGACGTAACAACGACGTGGAGTGAATTGGCAAGGATTTGAGCGACGGTACGTTCGCAGCTGACGGGAAACTCAATTCGAACATTGAATTGAAGCTCGGTTTTGACGTCACTCTTTCTGGCTCCCGGTCGGTCCACGTCAGCTGGAGTACGATTGATTGAGCATCCGGCTCGTACTTACCACGCTGTATCGTCGAGTTCATCCATGGCCCGAGTTCTCTACCTCATAGTAGTGTTATAAGGCGCAGCACGGCACTCACTATCAAAAGAGAAGATAACTCTCACTCGTACTCTTTCACTCTCAAACGCTCCTCCTGCTAGAGAACGACCACTGAACGAACACAATCACCACAGAAATCTCTAGCCATGGGGAAAGCCTGAACGTTGCTGAAGGATCTTTTCCCGCTTGAGTACTCTTGTCAATAAAACGCAATGCCGAAGACGGTCGACTCTTTTTCGAGAGAACTGATCTAAATAAAAACGCAGGGAAAGAAATCACGGGAACGGAATCTGTTGACAGGGACGTGAAGATGATGGTGTCAATGATCTTTGCCTGGCGAGCGCTTTCAAGGCGGCGATCCCGGCTCTGTTTCAAAATTCGAGTGGGATAAGAGCTTCCATTGTCGGGGAGAATAGCGATGTCCATCAGTGTCTTATCCTGCTCCAAGCTGCACGGCTCCATTCCCCGAGCCTCCTTACTCCTGATATGCCCGCAAGTCGAAGGGCCTAGGGAGCCGCAGCCTAAATCCTGAACCTGCCTCGTTGAAACGGAATTAGCGACTCGAGGAACGCATATTCACTAACAGAAATGAGTCTCTCCACATCCCTCGTTGCATCAGAGATCGGACACGACTGGATTACGATGACGGGAGGGTGTGTCACGAGCCGAGGTCTCGCCATGCAAGCCGCGGTGTCTTCTCGAGGAAAATTCTCCATAACTGAGAATCGACACCGATGATCTTATATCTGAGAGATTCGAGTGATTTGCAGACACTACGATAATTCTCGGGATACTTTTTTTATTAACGTAAGACTCCCATACCAATCGTTCGGGTCGACGATAAGTCAAGCGCCCCTCGGAGTCTCCCTGACGGCGATTGGTTCTCACCGATTAGACCGAAATCACTTCCTCGAGCCTACTTTTTTTCTCGGGATTCCCATTCAGATCTCCTCGAGAAGTGGCTTCTTCGGTGTTGCTGTTCTCGTCAGCGGCTTTCTGCGGACGAAGAGCTTGGGCTAGAGGGGCGACTCGGAATTCCGATGAGATTCGACTATTGAATAAATCATCTGTTCATATGGGTAGCCTCTGGCTCATACTACGCATACGAGTCACAACATCGTACGCGGCGCGAGAGGGCGAAAATTTCAGACTCTAAGGGTTATGAAAGATTACCTTGTCTCTTTCGAGAACGCTCTCACATTCCTCGGAGTCGTCGAGTCCGCATAGCCGGAGGTAATGTGGTCGTTCCTGCTTGGCTATGTAGCACCTCAAGGTGGCTTTACCGAGTCGGCCTGAAAACGACACATCGAATTCTTCCGCTTCTCCCTGGCAAGAAGTGTACGTTAGGATCACACAGCCCTTGGCCAGGTTCTCCAGCTTCAGCTTCAGCCCTTCCGAATACTGTGTCTCCAAGGGGAACTCGTGTTTGAGCATCACTTTCGTATCTTCGAACGAGAGTCGGAGCTTTCGCGCCTCACCGACGTAGGGCATCATTGTACTGAGCCCTTCCTGAAATAAATTATCAATTTGAATCACCGATGGTTTGGCTCCCTGGGAGCCAGATGGGGGATCGCCGTATCTCCGGAAATGCGACACCAGAGAGGATTGCGATCAGTACATGTCTGGTTTGATGGTCTGACATCATGATATCCTCCCATGTCGACTCGGATCCCGCGCCGAGTTCATCGGGGTACTCGACGACCGACGCGACGCGAAGAGAGAGCCTCACCTGAGCTATCCGAAAATCGCAGCCTAGCTCCTCACGGCCTTCAGCCCGCGAAAATACCCGAACACCGGTGTTGATTACTTTCAGACGGTTCTCGTTGCTTTGTAGAACTTGTTGAACGAGTTTCGACACCAAATAGATGTTCCGTTTCTGACCCTCCGTCGATCTGGAGCATAGAGAGGTAAACATTATGCCCGGTTCTCACATTGTCGGTCATTCCTTCCGAGGGAGATTTTTCTTCCATAATCTCATATAAGAGATGCCCCCGGGCGAAGATAATGATCGAAGCAACAGAATATACCTGCACAGAAGCTGCGCCGCTGGGAAGTCTTCAGCGAGCTCGTAGAACTTGCCAGTATGGACAATCGATTCATCTTTCGGATCGATGAAGACGTAAGGATCTTCCTTGTAGCCCTTCGGTTTTTTGACCTTCCGATTTATTTTTTCCGGATGGGGCTTATTCGTGGCTTCGACTTCATCCCCTAGGGAGATACCTCATCTTAGATCATATATTAATAACTTGTGATATGCGGCCCACGGCTTGCAGGCCAACGCCTATGTACAGTCAAATATAGAGATATTATGTCCCATGCTTTCCTCCATCTCAAGCGATTCGTGATGCGTCGCTTGAGGAATCTCCCAAGCAGTCTCCGCTCTGTACCTTCAATCTGCTCTCCAGTCTCTTGCGGCTCGACTTGATTTTTCTGGCTCTCCCATGGCAACAATTTGAGCTTCCGGAGCACAACGACGAAGAAGCCCCCCGTATCTTGCAGATGGGGCAGAATCCTCAGACACCTTCAGGAAAGTCGAGCTGCTCTCAGTTTATCTCCCAAGATTCCGGGAATGGTCAAATTCCAGAACGAAAATATCGTAGATATCGACGTTTCGTACGAGTTCCAGCCTACCTCTCGAGATGGAATTTCTCGGCGATTTCAGTCTCCGGAGGGAAAAGCTTAGGAGTTATCTGTGTTCTCAAGTTCTCCGGCACTTGATCGTAAGAATCGAAGATATCGACTTCTTTTGACGCAACCTGGAAATTGAGTCCGACTGTGAGCTCAGCTGCGCTGGTATCGATCGTTCCGACCTCCGGAATGGAGGAAATTCTCTCATGTCGCACAGGACATCTCCTAAGAGTACTCTGGTTCCCCACAGACCTTCCAACTTTTCAAGCCTGGATTCGATTTCAAGCCCGGTAGCCTGTCTCGTACGTCGACGATTTCAACGGCGTCTCCACAATCATCCAAGAGTCGTGCTATGACTGCCTCATTCTCAACGGGGTTCAGCGAGCAGGTGGAATAGACCATCAAACCTCCTACTGCGAGCATTTCCAATCCTCGTCTCGCGATTCGAACCTGGAATGCGGGATCGATTTTTTTTCAATATTTTTCTCGATGCCGGCCGATCCCGGTGCAAGCTCGTGGGGGCGTTTCGTCATTTCATGGCATTCTTTTGTGATTTCCACTCACTTGCAAGCCATGGATGCTGTTCCCGTTGGCGGTGTTCCATTTTCTCCAGAGATCTCCGTTTTTCCTCAGAGTTCCATCGCCCGTGCAAGGTACGTCGCACAAGACACGATCGTACTTTAGAACCTCACCGTCACTCAACTTGAGGTTAGGCAATTGAGACGCGTCATGATTGACAACCATCAGACAAGACGAACGAAGTCTCTTCGCTTGGTGCATAAGCATGTAACACCTGAGGAGGCAAAGCGGTGCTTACTTATAGCGCATCGATAGATTGAAAAGTTCCGAAGCCTCCGTTCCAATCCGAGAGAGGAGCACATGCCGATCCGTTGTGGCTCGAGGATCCAGCTTGTTCCTAACCTTTTGTTATCGACGTCATTAGCGATAACCAGGCCGTTCGGGACCTTGTCTTCACCTCGATGAAGCATTTCGATTATTTGTGCGGTTTTGCTACCAGGAGCTGCGCACATATCCAAAACCTTATGGCCCGGCTGGATGTCCAGGACAACGGGAGGAATCATGGAGACGGTTTCCTGGCGTGAGATGTTGCCTGGAATCGAAAGATTTCGTAACCTTGAGCATCCTCCGAGCCGCCGCAAGCGTCTGTGAGAGGGCTTCGAACTCACCATTATCACATTCGCTTATCAGGAATTTGTGAAGACGTTTGTACTCGTCGAACTTGCGTATCTTCACACGAGACATATCCAGTTGCCAGGCCAGACCTTCTGGGTACCACGGTATTCGGAGCGGGGCTGTCGCTTCCGTGTCCTTCAGCAGATCGGCGAAATATTTCCCTACGTTCGATATCAATCTCTATCAGCCGGATATCGTGCAACTCCCGCAAGAATGTAATACGGGTTCCAAGCTCGGTTGATATCCAGACTCATCGCTGCGCGAGTTTTGCTACCTAAGCAATTGACCTACGTACCCTGGACTATCTTCAGCAGGAAATTCGTCTCAGGGAGTCCGGACGTGATCCTGAACGCAGCAGGGAGGTCCGACTTGAGACATTCTATCATCTGACTCCATTCTTCGTCCGATCCAACGAGTTTCTGAGCCTATCGTGCGGAGAGAATAAAGATGATTTTTCCTTTCGCAGGAACCTGCTGGCCTCACCGAAGAGCGGGAAGGCAGCGCGGACTCGAACGCTGAGCAAATTATGAATTGGAGCCGATGCGAGGCACTCACCCTGTAGTAGCGATCGAAATTCCCGTTCTCTTTCACAAGATCTTCATACGAAGCTTGCCGCCGTTCCGTGTCTCTGTCGTCTCTACCAACTTTGGCTTGGTTCTTCCTCTTTCTTTTGTGAACCATGGTGAAAGCTCTGCAAAATCACTCGGAGAATTCGACTTAACGAGGAATTTCTTTCGTTGTAGATAGTTGTCCCGGGTCCCGGCTTCAGGACCAACGATGACAACAACCACAACACCACTCGCGTGGAACACCACGTGAAAGAGAGCTGTTCGAATACAGATGGGGCGCTCCGCCGTTTTGGAGCGCCGGGCTTCCAGAATATAAACAACGACAGTCCGATTTCGCGCGAGGAGACCAGATAGATTTACGGATAGGTGATAAATTTTTGTTGAATGACTTCCGCTTGTCGCGAACCGCAGCTGAAGATGCAATGAACCGCAGGTGAAGATGCAATGTTTATTCTTAGTCATGATGCCGGGTCCGAGGTTTAGGGCTTTCCGCGCACAAGTGATCGATTGCGCTTATTCGCCGCCCTGTGCTGAGAGTCTTCGATCGAATTCGACATGGAGTGATCGATTGAGGGACGACTGCGCTGACGAACTATGTTCAATCATTTGAGACGGAGTTTTTCGACTCTACGGACTCCCATTCATCGTTTGAGTGAACCGCAGAAGGATGTGACTTTGTTGGTAATGTGGGTCTCACAGAGCTTAATTCTGTCTTGGTGCTGAATTCCTCCAGTCGCAATCTAAGTCTTGGAAATCAGTCTCCGTCTTTGCCTCCTCACCGAGAGGGCCAGTGAGTCCATTCCCTACCCCCACCCCCTTCGCTGAAGTTTCTAGTTTTTTCGCCTTCGAATAAAAAACGACTCGATTTTTTCAGTGCTGGGTTCGGACTCTGCGGAAGCATAAGGACGTCGTGTTCGCGGACCTGTCGGATGGATTGTCTCCGAAATACCTCCAAGCCGTATTTGATGCCCAGCGAGTCTCGCCGGATCTCGGCGTGGGATGTTCTCTGAAAGTCACCGGAGATTTAGTCGAGAGCCAAGGGAAGTCGCAGCGTCTGGAACTCGTACCGAAGACCTATGAAATCATAGGGAAATGCAATCTAGTAAAGTAGGTTCCTCGATGCTCTGAGGGTCGAGGAGGGCTAGAACGGACGATTACAAGATGCTTCCCCGCTCGAGTTCATTGGAGGCTCGACCTCATGATCATGTGTACGAGGTACCGACATCCGGACCTTTGGGTCAAAAATGCTTCTTCATTCAAGTTACCCCTTTCGACCGAGGAGGGAATATCCGGTGGCTCACGAGAGAGCCCACTTGCACCTCAGACCTCGTCTCAGGAAGTTCGCAGCTCTGCACCGCATCCGGAATGATTTGACGCAGTCCATGCATTCGTTCTTCCAGGTAGAAATGTCGCCTACGCGACGGGACGCACAATCGTATTCCTCGAATGTGGATATAGACCATGACGGTGGAAGGAGGGCTCATTACTCAGAGCTCGAAACCCTCCCTTACAGGAACTGGATTTCTGCCACATTCAAACGCCAATCATCACCTCTAATGATTGCGAAGGGGCGGGCGAGGTTTTCTCCATTTCCCATCCCAATGATCCGAAAGAGAAGGACTCGGCGGAGGAGAAACGTAATCCATCATACTTTCCCTCCCGCTGCCACTTGACAGTGTCAGCCCAGCTCCATTTGGAGGCTCTGGTTCATTCCATCTCCCGAGTTTATACGGTCCAGCCCGCCTTCAGAGCTGAGAACGCTCTGTCAAGAAAACATCTTTGCGAGTTTGCAATGTTGGAAGCTGAACTGACGGTCGAAAATCTCGATGAGCTCGTGCGGCTCTCTGAAGGGCTCATCAAACACTGCTGGCAGGCAGTCCGGACATCGGAAGATCTCAAGGCACTGAAGGCAGAAGAGTGGAGAGACAAACTGGACGAGGCTTTGCAGCAAGGTTTCCTCGAGTTGAGCTACGGTGACGCGATCAAGGAGCTCAAAGGTGGTATCCGAGGACTCTGAAAGAGTTACATGGATCGCTCTTTCCTCCTCGAGGATGTACCGCGACTTTTGCCGATGAACTCAAGTTTTTGGTTCGTTCTGATTCCAGGGAGAAATTTCGAATGTCCCATCGAGTGGGGTGACGATTTCAAAGTTGAACACGAAGAGTTCCTCGTGGCTACAGTTTCTAAGGGGAGACCAGTCGTTGTGACACGTTTCCCCGCGAAATTGAAGCCCTTCTATATGGAAAAATCAGGTGAAACGGCTGAATGTTTCGACGTACTCGTTCCGATCGGTGGCGAAATAGTTGGGGGATCGCTGAGGGAAACGGATCTAGAAACGCTGGGAACACTGATAGATGATCAGAAAATCGAAGGTTTGGATTGGTGAGTTCATTCAGGCCCCTCTGACGTTCGAGGGAGCTCCAGGACATCTTGTATGAGCTCATCGAGATTATTTCCCTCGCGGGATTACTAAGAGAGTCGCATCTTTCTCTTCCCAGGTACCTGGATCTGCGTGAATACGGCAGTATCCCCCATGGAGGATTCGGCTTGGGCATCGACCGCCTGATGCAGTATTTCACGAACACGAACTCAATCAAAGAAATCGTGGCCTTCCCGCGATGGGAAAGGCACTGTCAGGCTTGAGCTCGGTGAATAAACGAGAGTCCGTAGTGAAATTCGGTGAATAAACGCTCGGCCTCAGGGGGAGAACCGAGATTCTCTTCCATGTACACGGCGCCGTGCCGTAGAAAATCTTAGTTCTCATTCCTCCGATAGATTCATGTGCGGAAAGCAGAATGAGGGCTTGTCTCCGAATGATAGGAAGTTCCTCTCTCAACCAACAGTACGTAATTCCTGAACGAACACGTCGAAATCGATCATCAGCTGCATCCCATGACCGGAGCGGGCGCGAGCATCCGGAGGCGCGATTCCTCCTCTTGCTCAAACCACTCAATCAGCACATATTTCTAGGACGGCGCGGCGCAGGAATCCACGCGGTCACCATCGATCTCCGCGCCGCGCAGTTTGAATCGAGAGCAGTAGGTTACACAAAATCATGGAGTGAATGTCAGCAGCTGTGAACTAGTTAGGGCATCCGGATATCCAGTCCGGCAAACTCTTTATTCACGGTTCACGAACACGCGCTCAATATACACGTACTTCGCGTTGAGAAACAACAGCAGCAGCTTGGATGGATGGATGGATGGATGGATGGATGGATGGTTTATTGACCCTCTCTGATTATATCTCAGTCTCAATATATATCAGAAGACCCTGGTTCAGGGGCGATGTCTCCAGCAGGTCGATTCATGTGATATCCTTCTTCGGTTCGGGTGGTAGTCCTCCTCCGTTCCCATTCCTCTAGTAGCACTTTAGTCCTCGTGATCATCCTCGGCGTGCTGTCTTCATGTAGCCCTAGTTGTCTTTGCGCGATATTATCCGCTTCCAGCGGGCTGTCACATTCCAATATCACATGTTCCAGAGTTTCCTCGGCCTTGCCACATCTTTGGCAGGTTGGATCGATGTTCTTGAAGCGTGACAGATATTTCCTGGTCTGCAAGCATCCTCGAATATTCGAGAAGTTCGATCGAGCAAGCTCGAGACGGGTTTGTCAAATTCTCCAGGACTCCGATCCGAATCCCCGTGAGTCGCGAACAGGAGATGGGGACGATATTCGACTAGTCGCACATCCATGCCAAGTACAATTTTAACCTTCACAACGTGCTCCTATCGCCACTGCCATCACGTTATCAGCACGAGCGGCTTCGGAGTCTACCACGACTGGGACACTGTTTGTCACAGTATTCGCCGGAGCTATCGTGCTGATAGCATGATGGCACTGAATCGAAACACGTTGTGGTGACGAAAATTCCACCCAGTGATAGACACTGCTCGCCGTCTAAACCCCTGGAAAAAGGAATATCAGAATCTGAGGCACCGAATCTACTTCTGGGCTCTCGATCAGCTCGCGAACGCCGTGTCCGGTTTCCTGCCGGGGAGGCTCATATCGTTACTCGGATTTATCGGGAACTCATTGGTTCTTCACATAAGAGCCCTTGCTCAGGTAAACGGCAATCGCCGTGGGTGTCGCGGAATGTCTGAGTGAGCCAAACGCCACTGTCGTGAGGCTTGGTTCTCAGGGACGCATTCAATCTTCGAAGCCTTTGGCACCCCTAGTACGATTATGGACACAGAGGTAATTTGACGTAGCTCCGGTCACCTCACGCCCGATGGAAATCACTCTCGTAATGATGCAATCACGCCATCATCAGGCCACAGGTCGCGAGCCTAATGGTGAGACTGTGGAGTTTTTCAATCCTGACAAGGACCAGAGGCAAACAGCAGGAGTTTTTTGCCACCCTGAACTTGAATTCAGGGCATCACGCCAGAAACATTAGGCGGGGCCCTCTGAGCGAGTTCGGAAGTTGGGAACTCAATCCCGGGATCAACAGTATAGAGTGACTTGAAACTTATCGGCCGCTCGTCAGGCTCGCTCACCTCGACTCCGGCGGGGATCGCGGACTAGCCTAGTCCGACTAGGTTTTCGAATCAGGCGCGCGTCACGAGTCACGATCAAAACCCTGCAGACGAAAGAATTCCTTCAGTTTACAGCTTCTCGGGGATTTCGAAGACTCCGCCGCATAATCCGATGGCGATAGTTTCAGGCGTCTGATCTATTCCTCGTCAGCAAACTGTCGGCCGGTAATTCCAGCTTTAAGATTATTTTTCATCATTATACAGCCATCGGTTTTCTCGGATGTAATACACAATGTCATTGGGGACTTACGGGAAGTCACAGTCGAGATCGGCGCCACAGGGCTCCATGCAGACCGATACCTGCGGGGGAACATGAATTCGCTCAGGGTCGACTCTTAGGACATCGAGGTAAAAAGTTCATTGTCGGTGGTCAGGCGTCTGATCTTCTCCTCGTC